AAAATGACTTGAATGCTCTAGTAAACGATACCCTCACTCTTGAACACATACTCTTTTTAAAACCTGCACCATCTTTAAACGTTACAGAAATGAATGAACTATATAATATCGTAATTACATTTATTCGTGACACACAAAGATTCTAATTTCCGATATCCTTCTCTCCCTTTCGTTCATTAGTTATTCTCTGTTTCTTTTTTCCTTATTATTATTTTTGTTGTTGTCATTACTTTCACTCTTAAATGTTGTCGCCGTGTATTGTTTCTATACATGTATTCTAGTGCTGTCCTCTGTCCTCAGTCAATTTATGTTAAGATGTAATGGATTCGCCTCCTTCTTCTCATAATTTCTACTGATTTTTTCAACATTTCTTCTAAATAAATAAAGTTTATATCAAGTCATCAATATATATATCAAGAAAAGCAGCGGAGCTAGTATGGAACCTTGTAGAACACCTCGATTAATTCGTCATGGCTTAGAAAAAAACATCCTGCAACTACAGTTATTGGCGATCTATCTGTTAAAAAACTCTCAAACCATTTCAGCAGTTTGCCTCTGACGCCAAACTTGTCTATAGACTAGCATCAATCAACTTTTCTATTTTATCCGTGAAATAAAGGGACAAGTGGCTGTTGATTCACATGTGAAGTGTATCTTCACAAATAGCAGACCTAAAAGAAGAAGTCTCAGAGAAACAAAAGATATTACTAAGCGAATAAATGATACTACAGAGTGCATGTTTATCATTTTTAACTTCCTGGACGTTTATGAGAATTATGCATCATCTCCTATTTACTTTACGTGAAAAAGTAATAAGTAAAGCGTAGCTACTCGATCAAGTATATGTCGATCCAGTGTGCAGTTTGGATAGAGAAGTCATAATTAACTTACAGAAAGGAAGGAATGTTCTTTTTATATAATAAAAACCGTTCACTCATTTACTTGTTCACGTTATAGTTACAGAACATATATGTAAGAGACATACCTAACTTCTATCGTAAAAGGCAATTGGTAAATGATGCAGAAAAAGTCACTGTTATCGTACTTGGCATGTGGTATATTATTAGTTGCATGTGCATTCTTTATTGCAAGTAATGCAAGTCCTACATAGGGGACAATTACGGGCTCTTCCATAATAAACAGTGTCGGGTTATAGAAAAACTGTATTAATGGTCATTGTGATGCATTGCCTTCATGTTCAGGATCAAAAGGGAAGGAAAGAAGTTTGTGTCATAAAGTAATGGCAGCACGAGTATTTATAACCATGGCATGTATTACATCAATAACTGGTTTTATTTGTTTATTAGCTGTCGCTGCTATTAATAAGCATCCGCAGATCTTATGTTATGTTGGTATAGTTTTAGCTGTATTATCATTTATATCTGGTTTAATTGGTTTCAGCCTAGGTGTTGATGCATTCGTAAAGAATCCGCAGAAAATAGGTGCTGCAGCTGTTTGTGCATTAATGGGATGGATCTTTAGTCTGGCCAGTGCAGTATCTTCAATTTTTATTATAAAGATAACACAAGCGGAATAAAGACAATGTACTGATTTTGAATACTGATAGACAGAAATCCTGAGAATATGACACTTACGTGTCAATTGACCGATGCTATAGCTGTATAATGACTATCACCAATTTCAAACTTTCACGTTATTATAATATTCTAGGATAAAGTCGAAGAGCAACTATCTTATTATCTGTCGTCAGGGTGCTTAATTAATGCTGAATGCGAAAAATATAATCTTTTTTATTTTCGACAATAAAAGGATTTCTCTTTACCAGCCTCGATCCGTGTATAACCAATCTCTTTCAAATCGTAAGTTATTAGAAACTAAAAGAGTATATCATTTGTTTATTGTTTCAGTTACATAGACCCAAATTAACTTCTCTACCCTGATCAATTACAAATTTAACAACAAACATCTTAGATAACTCATCTAAAACAAAACGTAACTAAAACAACAGCTAGAAGGTGAACACTTCTAAAGAAAAAGAAACGCTGCAAAACTTTTATACATTAAGATAGAGGTTACAAATCCTTTAGACTAATATCCTGTTGATGTTAATCTTCAGACACTAGCCATGTGGTGTTGTGATGAAAATTAGACGATTAGACAGAAATTATACTGATTCTCTCGCTCGCAAGTGTTCAACAAACAGAAATCGACGGATTAATGTTGTAAGGCAGAAAATATGAAAAAAAATAAAGTGAAAATTTTTTAAAGCAAAGTGGAAAACAAAGTGGGATATACTTTTCTCAGGGTGGAAAACAGAATGGAAAAGGAGACAGTAGTTGATATATATCACAACAATCACGAAGTAAAGAACTTTATCCAAGATTGACGGAAAGCAGAGACTGGACCCTTAAAAACTGGAATAGCGGAAACGATTGCTGAAAATATGCAGTGCTATTGTCACTCTCGGAAGTGGCAATAAAGAGCTATTGGTACCTCCAGCGATTGCTCGAAAGTGTCATTAAGGGGTCATTGGCACTACCATACACCCACAGTGCACTAACATTGCTGGGAGTGTCAACAAACAGCTATTACCACCACCAAGCACTGGTATAAAAGATGCGTCGGAAAAGTGGATTATTCTCTGGAGTCGCGCATTCAGCGTAGACATTCTTCTTTTAAAATACTATTCTTGAGTTGTTTAAAAGAGAGTTCCATTTGCCGAGAGTATACGTTATCTCACGTTTCTCTCAAAAGTGATATGGTTGAGAGAACAAAATAGTATTGACCGATGTAAGTTCGAATTGTGCACATGTGTACTGTTTTCAGAGAAAAGGCAATAAGTCGTTTTTCTTTCGAAGAAAACGCTGCGTATTAGGAATTAATTATACGACTGTAAAATTTACAAATTAAGTGTATTAGGCTTTTTAGCAGTGATAACAAAAAACATTTCTTTTGTGAGCATAAAATGGAGAAATCAGTACCTGTTTTACACATAATCAATTTACAATTGTGCAAAGAGTCACGTCTGCTCTTCATTCGTTTGTCTGCTCAACATTTGAAACTTTTTGTTGTTGTAAATGAATGGTTCCACCATCAATTACAGCAACTTGATTGTTCCCAATACGATGAAGAAAGAAACTTCTAGTGATCATCAAAACTCGTTTACGAAATGACTTAGATAATAAATAAATATAGAAGCCGGTACCAACATTAAAATAAGACCAAATACGAGATATTAATACAAATAAATTGTCGAGAGCAACATGCTGACTGTCCTTAAGCAGATATTGCGTGGATGTTGTATAAATGTTTTGAATACAAAAAGGAGTTAATGCAATTATATAAACAATGATTTGAGTTAACACCATTGGTGTCAGCTGCTCATCATAGTTTTTCTGTTCTTGTCGGACAGGCTGATTGTTTATTCTGTTCTGTTTTCTTATATGTAAGTTTTTATATGTTCCAATGGCAAAACCAGATAAAAGAAAAATTGGTACAAAACCATAGAATACAATAATTTGACCGTATGAAATATAATTCCTGTAATAAACAGATACATTTGCACATACTGCACTTCCACCAGTAATTGTTATATCAAAATAGACAAGCATCGGTATGTTAATAACCGACCATGCTACATATGTGACAAATATTACACGCTTTGCTGTTTTAATATTTGAAAATGATCGCAAAGTAGCTGTTCGGCAGCTACTAAGAAAACGATCAAATGACATTTCACAAGTGAGTGAAATAGATGTCAATTGTGTTACATAAATCAAATAATTTCTCATTTTGCAATAAACCACGTTTGAAGGCGATGGATCGATATTAAATCCATCGGCTAATAATCTTGTCAACAAGCCAATGAGCAAAAGAATTATGTTAGATATTGACAATGCACAGATATAGAAAGAAACTGGACTTCTTCGGAATTTTATCGTGATAAATAAAACTATATTAGCTACATTTCCGATGAGACCAAATAAAACTAAGGGAATACCAACAAAGATAGAGAATTGTTTTCCAATAAAAATTGTGATAGAAACTGCGTTCGATGAGGTTGACATAGCTCTCGAGAGACTGAAATACGACAAAACCAGTTATTTTCAGACTGCAATTATCAATGCAGATTATATGTAGAAAAAATTGTTGAAAAAGAAATCGAGAAGAACTCTGATATGTTTTTGTCCGTTTCTGCAAAATTTGAACTGAAAAGGCAACAGTTTACAATGGATTATTCTACATTCTTAAAAGTGGTGCACACTTTCAGGTAACAGTTGTACACTTATAATCGCCAAATCTGCATGTTGACAAACTTCTGTCTCTATTTTTGAAAAGTGATGATCACTGTTCTAAGAATATTTTGTTAGAAATAATTTCAAAATTCTTTTAATGAATACATTTTGTGGCACAAACATTTTACAAAATGAGATGTTTTGTAACGTAATTTTCCTCTGTATATTCATCTTGTCTTTTTTCCGATGCCAGCTGTTCAAATTGCATCGTATATCTGTGAAAACAGTTGTAGTGAGAGTGATCTATACATTTTGGTTCTTCTCCCAAAAACTTTCTGTTGTTTTTTATTATCAATTGCAAAAAAGCTCAAAATTAATCTCTTACAGCTGGATGATTATTACCCTAAATTTTTTATCTCTAACTCTATTTTCTACATTGACAGTAAAAGAGAATAACGTTTCCAAAACGCCCGAAAGTTATGGATTAGCCTTTATATTAGCATCTTTTTCTACTCGTCTAGTTGTCTTGCGAGTAATAATCTAAAACTATCATATAGAAACAATTTTTTTTGCACCATCCAAAAATTTGGTATATAGCCCCCAGCTCCTTGCCTTTTCTGCATCCATCGTTCACTCTTCAAAGCACGCATTGAAAAAGATTTATTAGAAGCCGATATGCTTACTCCTCACTTCGATTAATCTTTGGCTAGCTAAAGACTTTTCTTCTATTTTGGTAGTTTTCCCTCTTCTATACTCACGTCTCTTCTTCTATTTTAGACTAATTATTTTCAGTTCTTTGTTAGAATCACGACATGTATATCTAATTAATTAGGCAGACATTTTATTTTCACGCACAGAGTGAAATTATAATGTTGTATGTGTTTTTCAGGCCGAAGTTCCATTTCCATTATCGTTGAAGAAGAAAAGTTGTTCGGATGATAATGAAAGGAAATGCAAAACGACACGTTAGGAAATTTTAATTACGAGTATTCTTTCATCTTTTCTTCTTTTTCTGCTTGGTTTTCGACGAAGAAAAATGCGATACACTGTTGTGTTAAATTTATAACCAGTTTCCTGCTAGTTTCATTTACATCTTGTCAACTATACAAAACGTCATTTCGATCCTGATGATGATTTTATTGTTCAAATACCAAAACAAGGATAAGACGAGGGTATATTGCGGTGTCATATACACAGTCAATATCAAGCATCAGTTGAGCACTTTTGTTGGATTCAATACAAGGATAACGCTGGCTCGCTACAAGCTGATCCACATAAAGTTGTAACAGCTTGGTACTGTCAATGTAAAGCAGGAAAACGAACGATAGGATGTTGTGCACACGTTGCATGTGTAATTTGGTATGCACGACATGAACATTCAACGACCACAACTACAACTACTAAATTAGGCTTCGGTCCGAAATTCCTATAGATACAAAGTGGACCGGCAGCAATGAGAATACGCCTATTAACCAAGGAGAAAAACCAACGCCTCGCTACACTACACTACACTCTTTCCAATACGGTAGTGGTCTTGTAGTGATTTTGTAGTGGTCACGGGTAGAGGTGTTGGCCGCGCCGCTAATCAGAAACTTTGTCAACACTTTAGAAATCTTTGAAAAAGCTTTATTTAAAAGTATAAATTTTCAAAGTAATGTGCAAAAGATAGGAATAAACATTATATTGTTATTTATCACTGAAATATTTTACATACAGTATTGATGAAAGCTGTTCAGAAAAAAATTTTACGTCGCCGCCATAGGTAGAAACATTTTTTTGAAATTTTCGCCGCCGCCGATACAGTTTTCAGTTTGACACTCCGCCGCCGATAAAGTAATCGGCTATCACCTCTAGTCACGGGTATTGAACGGAAGCAAGCAATATATACCCTTTTAGCTCAATGCATTTCGAAGACCGTGCTTCTACTTTACAGATTAATGTACCGATATGACACATAAGAGAAGCCGGTAAATTATTTGGGAAGAAAATTAAGAACAGTATTATTCAATATGCCTGAGGAACTTAGGGAACCCGTCAAAATTCGCATCGGTGAATTTATTCACCGGTAATTGGATTGGAAAGAAAATTGAGAACAGTATTATTCAATATGCCTGGGAAAAAGAATGTAGAGCTATCGTATAGCAGAATGAACACGTATGTATATATTCTTTTCTGTACTATATTTGACTTAAGTTTTTTTTCTTTCTATACACACTATAAAGAGAGATATAAAGCAACAAATGGAGAAAAGAACAAACTTTATCGTTTTATCCAAAAGAAAGATTCCCTTCACTATCAAATTAGTGTGTTTTTAGGCAACTTTCCAGATTAAAAAGTTAAC